TCCTTTGGACTTCCTCCAGCTGTTTAGAAGATCTTTGCTCTTCCCTTTTTTTAATTGTGGATTTCACAGATGTTTCCCTCGATTTCTCCTTTTTTCCTCTGTTCTTGCTACCTCTTTTTTTTTTCTGATCATATAATTAGATCTGCCTGTCAGCCACTTTCCATCTCAGTTTAGAGTTTTAGGACTTTATGGCAATTTTTATATCCTTCTGAGTGTTTCTGTCTTTAAACTAGTGTGATGCAAGGGCTGAAGAAATCTTTTTTTACATCCCTCCTTGTTATTCCTCCCCAGCTCACAAATCCACACTTTCCTGTCTTTCAGTGGAATTTTTTTGGTTTGAGTTCTTTACTTGTCTTCACCCATCAGATTTTGTCAATTTTGTCATCCATTTTCTGTAAGATCTTCCCTTCCTCTCTCTCCCATTTCCAAGTGTTTATTGTGTCTCATGTGCAGTACTGCAATTACCTTCATTCTACTAATAAATGTAACCTTCAGAATAATTTATATGACATTCCTAACAACACTGAAGACTTGTAGAATTATTGAGCAGGGATGGCCAGACAATTTTTAATCATACTTTTTAAATTAGTCTTTTCATAACTCATGCATTCACCAATCCAGGGAAGAAACGTGCTCTTCTGAACCCTTTTTTTCTTGATCCCTGTTCTTTGGTCTTCCTTTATTTTTATTCTGTGATTCTATTTTTCCTGTAGAATTACTATTAGTAAGTAGTAAGAAGTAGAATTCTTGTAGAATTACTACTAGTAAGAAGTACTTTCTGGGGAGATGGTGCATACTGCTCTATTTATGGTGGAGCTTTTGGTGACCAGAAATAGTTACCTAAGCTGTCTCTGGGCAGTCTGGTGGGTGGGCAACCCAGTCATGAGATTCTGGCTTGGTGAATGTGTGAATTGTGAGATTGGTGATTTTACAGGTCAGACAAACTTGCCCTGTTATCCTGCTCAGACTTACCATCCAGTACTCAGTGTTGCTAAAGTTAGTGCAGTTATTTATAGCAATTAATTCAGCATGTAATTTCTCAAATGAAGGCCTGAATCAGTAAATACATCAAGAAGCATGAATAAGCAGACAGTTTCTTTAAGGTGTGGTTGCTTCTATGATACAGCATTAAAGCAGTGACTTGCATAGGTTGATAACTGTGCTGTGCTCTGAGTTTTCTTTTATAAATGCTTTCATGAGCAAAGCTTTGCCTGGCTACAGTCTTAGCTCTGTTCGTTTTTCTTTCTGTTGCTAATGTTGTTTTTCAGATCCTTAAGAATAATGGGCTTTGTAATCGTGGCCAATAGTCACTGCTCGGTAATAAAACATAGACTAAAGGAAACCTATCTGCATTAAAGTTTTATATAATATTGTCCTTACATAAGGTGGTTTTAAACTTTGGAGTCAATAAATGATTAGCATTTTAAGCAACTTTAACACTCTGTTTCCTGGTTGCCCTTAAATTTGGAATGTTACTTGCTTTTGGACTGAAATCTTCCAGGACTAGCTTCTGGGCATAGGTGAATGTTTTAGCAATTTAGCAATTTTTAAGTCAGACGTTGAGGCAGGGATTTGATTTTATGAAGAATACATCCTTGGTGGTTTTCCTGTTTGTTTGCTTTTAAACAATGTTGTAACTTAAGCACTTGGGGAATTTAGTTTGGAACAGCCTGGGTTAAAAGAAATAGTAATAAATGTGATTTTGATTTAATGAAGTTTTGGAGTTGCTTTTTTTTTTCCAGTGTTAATGCCATGGTACAAATCCTATCTCCACTGGCATTCCACATCTGCAAGCAGAAACATGCATACATGGTTTATTTCAGTTTTATGCGTATCAGCAGGCTGAAATGATTGGTTTGCATCAGTAGAGCACTTCTGTCCTTAAGGTTTGCATTAGTGCAGCTGTACCCATGTTGAAATTATATATGTCTGTATGGACAAAGGAGGCCTCAGCTGGAAATATGTACAAGATACATGCTATGAATGTGCACTTTATACACTCTGCTCAGTTAACTTCATGAAGTAATTACAGTTAAGATGTATAATTCTGGGGCAAGCACCCATATCCATTTTTCAGCAAGTTACTTTAAACATTGGGAATTTGATTTGAGGTTTTGTGTACTTCATGTTTTTTTTAACAGAGACACCAATGGAGTCATTTGAATTCATTTTGTTTAAGGTGTAGCGCTCCTCCACGACTGAACAGGGAAGTTATGAGTGCAGTTAGCCTTTATGTGCTCTTATTGTTGCCACCTACAGCTTTTTATTAGTAACATGCAATTCTTCTGCTCTGCTATGTAATACACATGTTTTTTTTCCTCTTTTTTGTAATGTGCACATACCTAAAAATTCTGCTCTTTTGACAGTAAGTCCTCAGGCAACCTGACCTTCAGTTTGCGTACGACAGAGGGAGAGGCAGGGGTGCTCCTCAGGGAAGTATAAGCAGACTGTAGGGGATCGCAGAAGGCATAAAATACTGCTTTGGTGACTGGAGAGAGTTCCAGCTTGAACTCTTTCCTCACTGCAGTAGGTTGAAGGCATCTGTATATGTTGTGCAGAGAACATGCTGACTGCTCCTTCTTCATGCAGAGACTGCTAAAGCACTGACCATGCACTTGGTGAGCCTATAGCTGAAGCAAGCCTAAGTTTTAATGCAACTTTAATTTTGAAATTTTTTGACTAAGGGGTTTTGGCTTGCTTAATCAGTTCTTTGTGTAAATGTATTTAGTATAAAATTCCACCTTGTTTTAGCAAATAGGAATCAGAGTTGCATTTCATGCTACAGGGGGATATCAAATGGACTGAACGTTTATTTTACTGGACTTTTGGTAAAATTTCACCAGTTCTGTTTTGCAGATGGACTGTTCCAACAAAATCAGCATAGAAACTTGCGTATTAAAGTAAACACTCTATATTCAGGGAAATTTCCTCTTCAGGTGGTTTCCTCCCCCTTCTCTCATCTCACACTCCTTGTTTGAGATTCTGTGGGAAAAGTGAGCTCTGTCACTTTACCTTGTGGCATAATTGTTGTGTTAACCAGACCATTTATTCTTTGTCTGTTAAGAATTTTTCCAAGGTAAAAACTATAATCTTTAGCTTAGCTATAGTTTGGCTCCTGCAGACTTTTTTTTTTTTTTTTTTTTTTACCCTTTAGTACTGAAAATCTTTTGACATCAGTGCTACAGGTATCTGATGTGTTATGAGGACTGTGGAGTGTTTGCAGTGTATGTTTACAGAGATCTTCTCTTTACAGAGAACTCTTGGTTCGATACTTTGCTGGTATTTTCCTGTCTGTACATTACTCACTATAGTGAGTAATAAAGGGTAGCTTTACTTAACTGTAAGCATGATTAACGTTTGAATTTCTTTGACCTTTAAATATGACAAAGTCATCCTGTGATATATCTATGTCAAGAGTTTTTTCAACACTGGAGCTTTCCATTAACAGCAGGATACTCATTTGATTTGTTTAGGCATCGTAATCTTAGGCTGGAGCATTAGCTTCACCACAGAGAGAATAATTTCTGTACATATAGTACAACTGCACTGAAGGCGTTATATAAAACAAGCTAAAACTTTGGGTAATTACTCTACAGTATTACATTGGCATATTTCCATATTGCAAATAGTTTAAAAAACTGACAACAATGGTATTTTAAAACAACCTCCATTCATTTCCTCCCCACGTGAAAACTTCACAGCCACCACAGGACAAAATACAACTTCTGTGCTCAAGCCAGAAGCAATTAGGGTTGGCTAGACAATGAGAAAATCTCCAAACTATTTAAGCCACAAAAATGGAAAAAACAGAATGTTATGTTTTATTGTAGGTTCGGGAACTGCAAACACGTTTGCAAAGCGTGCAGGCAACAGGCCCATCCAGCCCAAGTCGTCTCACTTCTGCCAATCGACCCATTAACCCCAGCACGGGAGAGCTGAGCACAAGCAGCAGTAGCAATGACATTCCCATAGCCAAGGTGAGCTATTGTATCTTGCAGTAACACTTCTCATTGTCTGGGAGAAGCAGGCTTCGTTTTGCACAGCTGCTGTGCAAGCATGTGATTAACTGGGAGATATCTAGAATCCCCAGAGAGTTTTTTGGGGTCCTAAGCAGGCCCATGAACTTGAGCTGCAGAAAGGAATTAAGTGCTAATGGTTGTAACTCTCTCAGTTACAAGACAGGTGTCAATTTTACAGTAGTTGACTTCAGGTTTGCAAGTTTAGCTAGTGAACAAATGCATTTTGTGTAATCTCTATGGAGTGTGGGCTCCTGTGTAACCTGTGCAGCATTCTGACTTACAGATTGCTGAAAGAGTGAAGTTGTCAAAGACAAGATCAGAGTCTTCATCATCTGATAGACCTGTCTTAGGATCAGAAATCAGCAGCATAGGGGTAAGGACTAATAATTATGTGCATGCATGATACCTTCTGAAGATAACCTGTGTTCCATTAAAAGCAGCGTTGTTTCCTTACTAAATTAATACATGAGCTTACTTCAAAATACTTTAGAAGTTATTTTAAGAAAAATATTTCAACAGAGAATATTTCACCCAGTATTAGGATCTAATTTTCTCATAACTGATGGCTAGAATAATTTTCTGGGTGACTTCAAGAGGATGGTTTTGGAGTCAATTCCTCCAGAATACTAGTCTGCAAGAAAAGACTGTTCAGTTGCATTTCACAACTTCCAGTCAAGAGAGAACTGGCTTCTGCTTTGTATTGCCAATGTAAACCCACAACACTGTTGTTACTGTGTGTTAATATTTGTTTCACTGAAGAACTTACCTCTGACCTTTTGCTAAGCTTTCAAGAAAGTAAATAACTTGCATATTAGGCTTTTTAAATGTATGATGACATAGTGGGCTTTGTGCTTTGGTTAGTAGAATTTTAAATCAAAATAGCTTCTTGAAGTGGAAACTTGTAAATGTTCTATTCAATGTAAAATTCATAGTAAAAGCTGAATAATGAATGCCTTGAAGTGAGCGTATGCAAGGAAATGCAGCTCTCCATGCAGACTGCCTGTGGGAGGAATCCAGTGGTTATCTATTCACAATGATCTGTTAACTGCCCTGTGCAGGTGTCTAGTACTGTGGCTGAACATTTGGCACATTCCCTCCAAGACTGCTCAAACATCCAGGAAATCTTCCAGACTCTCTATTCACATGGATCTGCTATTTCTGAAAGTAAAATCCGAGAGTTTGAAGTGGAGACAGAGAGATTAAATAGGTAAGGTGAAAAGTTAGAAATGCTGAAATTTGTTGTTTGCTATTAGCTTTGTTAAAGTTACTACTTTTTTATCCTTTTTGAACATTTCTTACTTCAGTCCCAGCTCAACTGTGGCAGCTGCAGCTAAACGTGGAATGTAGATGATGAAGAGGAGATTGAATCATATGCTAAGGATTCTTTCCATTAGTATGACAGTTTGGTCATGCATTATTAGATCAGCATGGCACCTTCATCTGTGACAATTTGCACTGCAGAGTGTCCTTCTCTATGGCTGACCAAGTAGACATGGCATCTTTTTTCGTAAGACACATCACTGCTAGAAATAAGGATTCCCACAACTTACTCTCCATCATTCTGGAATTAGCTTGTTTTGTTTTGTCCTGAAGAAACAGAACTACAGCATTAACTGTATCAATGAATCTACTGATGTATGGTGGTGTGGGATATATAGCAGTAAACAGACTTCTGTCTGCAGAAGAAAGATTGCAGCTTTCTGGTTGCAGTTAAAATACTGCTGGTATTATCATTCAATAAGCTCTATTAAAACCAATGCTTCATGTCCTCTTTGGCACATAAAATCAAAACTGTGACTCAGGAATGTGAAAATTGTGTCTCAGCATGTTTCCTTCCAAGTTCTCTCTTCCCTGTGGCTATCTCAAATTCAGTCTGATCAGTACAATATCTCTTTTATTTGTAGCTCATGTTTTTGTAGTGCTGCAAAATGTGATCCTTTGTTTTTCTTTTTTCTTTTTTTCTTTTTTTTTTTTTCTTTTTTTTTTTTCTGTGCACTGCACAATTATGATTTGACAACATGTATCCTTATAGGAGGTGTCAAAGAAGATAGAGGAGATGAAGCATCTGAGAGTTCTAGCAGCTAGGAAAGTCAGGCCTTTATTCTGATTGCTGAATAAATGGTATACTAGCCCTTCTCCTTCTTGTGTTTGTTAAGAAGCCAGTGATTTTAGAGTTCTGGATGGCACTGATTTCTTCATTAGCTAGTTGTTCAAATCTTGAAATCATTTGCCTGTCTGTTTTCAGTGTATGTCCAACTCTCATGATTAGGTGTAGTACATTGATGTGTAGTGCAGTTATCAGCAGTGAGAATAAACAGTACTGGTATTCTAAAGCCTCGCTTTCAGATTCAGAGTTAACCTCATTGAGAAGAATATTACAATTAAGTTCTGATATGAGCTGCTGTTTGGCTATTGCCAGATCTTTCGGAGATTTCATTGCCTCATTGAAACTTTGTATTTTGGAAGTTACCTCTCTAATCACAAACAAAATATTACTTCAAGTGAAACCGTTTTTCTGGATGTTTCAAAGAAAGGGGGCATTTATGCAGTTCCATGATCCCTACACACACCCACACATAGCACTAATGAACATGCCACTTAAAACAAGAAGGAAATGTGGCAGCAGGAGGTGAGGAATGGAGGCAGAAAAAATAAGGAAAAGGTTGATATGAAGCTGTCCTACGCAGTCTTGTGGCTACAAAATAAGGGTACAGCTTTCTGCTTGCTGCTGTTGCACAGGGTTATGGGAAGGAGAAGAGACTGTCCTAAGAGAAATGACTATCCTCTTGGCTCTTGATGTGGGACACAGAATGGATAGATTTTGCTGTCTTCATTAAAAACCTTGTGTAGACCAAAGGGTATTTGTTGTTTAAATTATGATTGTTCTAGACAGTGTCTGCAAGCTAAGTTTGAAGGTTGCAAATTACTTCCTTTTCCACAGCCGTATTGAGCACTTGAAATCCCAGAATGACTTGCTGACAATAACACTCGAAGAGTGCAAGAGCAATGCGGAGAGGATGAGCATGCTTGTTGGGAAGTACGAGTCCAATGCCACAGCCCTCAGGCTTGCATTGCAGTACAGGTATGTACCTACGCAGAGGGTGTCTCAGCCAGAAAAAGAGGGAGCGGGGGAGACCTGATAAAAGTCTTTGAGAGTGAAGTTGTTGGTGTACCATAGTAATACTGGGTTTTTTTGTTTCCTTCCTGAAAAAATGCCCCTTTAGTTAAACTACTTGACAAACTACAGAACTGAAGTTACTGATAAAAGGATGTTTCAACCCTAGTTCACCAGGAGTAGTGAGCTCAATCTAATAGAAATATACAGATTTATCTTTTCATTTTTAAATACTGAATTAACATTCAAATTCAGGGTTGTGTGTAGGCTCAAACTGTCTCTGCTGTATCCAGTCTTAAGACACAGGTTCTGTGTTAGGCTGGCACCTTTCACACGACCAGTAGACCGAAGAGTAGTATTGTACTCCACATAATCCAGAGTGACTTTATATTACATCAGTTGGAATTGTGGATTAATTGCTTGGTATTTGGTTACAAGTATCTAAATTTGTTATAAACTGTATGTAAAAAGATGGTGTCGTTTAACTCCTTCAACTGCAACTAATTTAGAACAGGCAGTTCTGGTCTTAAGACAAATTGTGTGCCTTTTAAAGAATGTATTCTGTTACTGTCAGCCTTGAGCAAATTACAAGGAAATGTAAATAGCAAATAGGTATATTCATGTATATATTTTCAAAAACATTAGAATGCAACAGGAATGAGTGACTCACAACTGTATTTAGAAGCTGTTGTGTTTTAAGGAGGAAAACATTACAGCCAGTACAGCGCAACGTCTTTTCTTTTTTTCTTACTATACTTTGCATAGTATAGTTGTATAGTAGAGTACAGAATACCGTATTTTGTATAGTAAGAAGGCCTGAAAACAGTTTCTCAAAGGGATCTGTTGACCACCATTCATATCGTTGACTGTTTCAAACATGCTTCTGGAGCTCACTTCACATCAGGTCATTCTCTTCTGTTTTAACTTGTTACATTGATTGAGGCCAACCTCAGACCATCATAAGGAGTGAGAGACTGTTGAATGCTTGTGATAGAATCTGTGTGTGTTATCTCATTTAATATCCCCGCTGCTAGACAAGTAGTAGGGAACCATGCAGTTCATCAGCTACTTCTTTTCTTTTTGTTCCTGTTGCAGGTATTCTTCCTCCCTAAATTGCAGATATATTTTGTGTGATTTTTGTTTTCTGTGGTTTGTTTTCTCTTTCAGTGAACAGTGCATAGAAGCATATGAGCTGCTGTTGGCATTGGCAGAAAGTGAGCAGAGTCTCATTCTTGGGCAATTCAGAGCTGCAGGTGTTGGTTCTGTTGGTAAGATGTCAATGAATCACTTTATTTAAATATTTTTTTTTGCATGTCAGTTAGCATTAGAGTTAGTTGTAATGGTGAATCATCTCATGACCCATCACTTAAGAATGCTTTCTGGTCTTTTCTTGTTTTTAACTAATTAAATCATTTTCCACACCCAAAAAGTAGGGGAAAAGAAAAAGAGAGACTAGAATTAAATCATAAAATTTGCCAGCAATTTAAATTAACCTACGTATACTATCACAAGGGGATGCCTATTCTGGCAGCGGTGAGGTTGCTACAGGCATGCAACTGTACAGAGTGGAATTGTTAAACAGTATGCATGAGCATACGTGGCTTAGGGCCACACAGCTGTGGTAACTGCAAGTACAGATTTTGTTTGAACCAGCAACATTGACCCCCCCCTAGATGTTGAGTATAGTCTATGAAAAACTAGGATTAGGACAATATAAAGGTAGCATTGAGTAGTTACCAAGAAAACGGCTCTAGTTTTTCACCCCACATTTTACCTTTGCTCTGAAATTTTAAAACATTCTATCTTATGTTTTATTGTGTTGTCGGGGATATTAGCCTATATGTCCTGGGCTTTTTTTCTTTTGTGGATAGTTAATCTTGTGGCTTGGTGTTGTTGGTTTTTAATATGCTGCTTGCTAAGTAATGGAATGAGGGACTATCACAGGTACAATTCGGAAGTATGTTTGAAGCTTGGCATTGTGGCTGGCTTCACTTTTCTGATAGAGGTGTTTACACAATGAACGTTAATCTGGGTTTTATAGTCCCATTCCTTTTACTGATAAGAGAAGGTAGCCATAGTAATCCTCAAGTAGAAAGAAGGGAAACCTTCAGAGAGAGAAGAATAGCTCTTCATACTGCACTGAGGCGGAGTAACTGCCTGGTTGAGAGAGTATTCTAGCACTAGCTTCTCAGGAATCACTGAAATGTAAACGGGAAGGTTTTAGAGACAGTGATGATCTGGCTTTAGAGCCAGAGGACTGACATGGTCAGCCTCTTGTTTCAGATGACTAGCTGCACTCAGCCCACAGTCGCTGTGCTGCTAACCATGCCCCTTATTTTGTATCTCTCCCAGTGCTAGAAGCAGGCCCTTGTGTACCTGTCTTGGCCTGTGCAGTGTGTGCTGTACACTAAATGTTAAAACGGATGTATGAGATGTTCATCCACCTTTCTTCCAGACTCTGGTCATTTCTTTCCACAATGTGCTAGGGAGCTTTCACTGCTGGCAGAGATCAGTGATGGGCAAAAGTAAATTTACTTTTGGATTTTCTGTTCACATAGGTGGCAGAAAGAAATCTTAGAAGGGAGAAATACTTTGGGTTTGAGTAGGGTTTCATGTCACATGCATTTTATGAAAGAGAATGTAGTTTAGTTTTTATAGGTGTCTGTCTACAGCTCTTAATTATGGTATTATCAGTTACAGCCCTGTGATAGAAATAGTGCTAATTTCCAATTACATAACACAGCTTGGAGGAAGTTGTGTTTGGTTTATGTACCTTTACTTCACCATGAAATTTGATTAAAACACCTAGATAAAATAGCAGATTTGAAGATCAGTCAAGTTTTATATCAACATCTGTGCGTGGAAAATCCATGGGAGTTGCTTCTGCATCACTTAGAGCTGAGCATATCCAGCTGATCCTTACAGACCATTCTCCCTTCCTTTCTTCCGCATTAATGTTATTTCTAGTGCATGCACTTCACTTAGCAAGTGTGAAGTATGGGTAATTGGTCTTTGTCTCGAATAAGAATGAAATTAAAATCTGACATAGAGCAAACTTTTTTTTTTGTACTCTCTGACATCTTTGCATTGTATTTGGTGAAGTATGAATATGTTGTAGCTTTGTTCAGACTTTCAGTGTAGCCACTGATGTGTCTTACTTTAATGACTTGACTCCAGCTGGAGTTAGGACTATAAGAATAGTGACAGCAGTGGTTTCTGTTCTGCCTCTGCTGAAGGGATGGCTTACCAGCTGCATAGATGCTGCACAACCACTAGAAATTATAGCAAATTAATGAACACCAGTGCTAGTTTTCTTTTGGTTTAGTATGCATGACTGTAAACTCTGAACGGCTGCTTCTAAGCAGAAAGGCAATTCTTCCAGCTGGAAAGGTAACCTGTAAGAAGGTGTTCTGGCAAACCATTAGGCTTGAGATAAAGGTGCTTGTGAGAAAAAGGACTGCAAATGACCGCACTGTGAAGCAGCACTGGACTGATTGGAATAAGAGTTGTAATTTAGTCTGAGGATTTTCCAGTGTATTATTAATGGTTGGATTTGATGATCTTAAAGGTCTTTTCCAACCTAAACAATACTATCAATTATTCTACTAATTTGAGCACCCCAACCTAATCCTAATGCACAGTGCACAGCCTAACAAACAGACGAGCTAGCTAAGATAACAACATCACTTAAGACGTACCCAGAGCAACAAGTAACTGGAGCTTGTGGCCGGGAGGGAGATGCATTCAGGCCGGTAGCCCAGTTACCACTGATGCTCGCACAGAAGTGAAGCTGCTTTTACATCACAGATTGGTAATCTATTGTCATAGTCTTGGTATAAACTGAGAGCGCGTAGAAGCCTCTCTACTCTCTTGCCTTAATTTCCATCACCCTCCTCAAAGCTCTGAAACAGATTGTTTGCTTGAAAACTAGGGGACCAGACAGGTGATGAAAACATCACCCAGATGCTTAAGAGAGCTCATGACTGCAGGAAGACAGCTGAGAATGCAGCAAAAGCCTTGCTGATGAAACTAGATGGGAGCTGCGGGGGAGCCTATGCAATCACTGGCTGTAGCGTGCAGCCCTGGGAAAGTTTGTCATCCAACAGCCACACAAGGTAACTGCAACTCATCTGCTCTCCTAATCACCAAGTGTTTGATTTCAGACCAAAAGTTATGTTGTATTGTAATTGCTGATTAAGTGCAAAGGTCCTGCACATGGGTCGGGGCAGTCCCAAGCAGAAATACAGGCTGGACAGAGAATGAATTGAGAGCAGCCCTGAGAAGGACCTGGGGGTGTTGGTTGATGAGAAGCTCAGCATGACCCAGCAATGTGTGCTTGCAGCCCAGAAAGCCAACCGTATCCTGGGCTGCATCAGAAGAAGCGTGGCCAGCAGGCTGAGGGGGGTGATTCTCCCCCTCTACTCCACTCTCATGAGACCCCACCTGGAGTGCTGCGTTCAGCTCTGGGACCCCCAACATAAGAAGGACATGGACCTGTTGGAGCGAGTCCGTAGGAGGGCCACGAAGATGATCAGAGGGCTGGAGCACCTCTCCTATGAAGACAGGCTGAGAGAGTTGGGGTTGTTCAGCCTGGAGAAGAGAAGGCTCCGGGGAGACCTTATAGCAGCCTTCCAGTACCTGAAGGGGGCCTAGAAGAAAGCTGGAGAGGGACTTTTTACAAAGTCACATAGTGACAGGACAAGGGCTGTAATGTCTTTAAACTGAAAGAGGATAGATTTAGATCAGATATAAGGAAGAAAGTCTTCACTATGAGGGTGGTGAGGCACTGGAACAGGTTGCCCAGAGAAGTTGTGGATGCCCCATCCCTATTAGTGTTCAAGCCCAGGTTGGATGGGGCTTTGAGCAACCTGATCTAGTGGAAGGTATCCCTGCACATGGCAGGGGGGTTGGAACTAGATGATCCTTAAGGTCGCTTCTGACCCAAACCATTCTATGATTCTGTGAACTACCTGCCTTACCTCAGTCCACTGGCTTCTTTGCTTTGATTTATAAGTCACCATGCCTCAGTGGTCTAATTGTCTTTAGACTTTGAGCAGCTCCAGCCAAGAAGGGTTTTGTATAAATTTGTTGCAAATGGGTGGCTCTGAACCTTGATCTTCCTCGTAAAGGGCAAAACCATTACATTTGTTTTACATCAGTGATTTTCTTGCTGTTTTATTGGAACTCAAATCATGTACTTCTTATTCATATCTATTGTATGCAGACAGCACAGATGTATGGAGAACCAGAGATCAGAACTATGCTTCCATCGGCGTTTTGGAGTGCTCGAGAATTATTTTCTAAATGTTGCAAATCCAGCCATTTTGTTTTAAACCATTTCCTTTCCCTTCTCATTCCCCTTTGCTCCCCTTCAAATTCTTCCTCCCCGTGCTATTCTTTCACACATGGAGTGGCAAATGAACATCATGACAGAGTGGATTCTTCCATGAAAGGCTGGATATTATGGTTTTTCTGAAGACCTATAAAATAATGAAACTTAAATGAGCTATTATTGCAGAAGTGTTCCAATTCAAATACATCTGCTAGCAACTTCATTTTGAGTCGTTGCCTGCCTGCAGTGTAATTGTACTCCGTGCAGTGAATATGTGTGCTTGTGTATGGTTACCGATTTGGCAAGCATCCTGGATAAATATAGATGAACATTTTTCTTTTTAAAAGTTATTTTGGTTTCTCAGATTCACTCTAAAACTTCATTTTAATTCAGTTTTTGAGCCAGTTCTTTATTCAAATGCTGTCATTTTTTGACACTTTTAGAAGTTTATTTTAGTACTATATCATTTCCTCTTCTTGCTGATGCCTCCTCCAGAGGAGATCTTATTTCCTGCCATGTGACTAGCATGGAATAGCTAAAAAGTGAGCAAAAAGGTAACCTGAGGGAACAGGGTCCAAATGTGAGGTAAATTTTAATTTTTTATTCACACAAGTTTTATGATGCACTTCCAGTCCAAGAAAGCTGTATCTTTATTCAGAAATTAATGTGCCAGCACCTGCACTGGTAACACATTGATCCCTCATTGTACCAAAAGCATTTACTGGCCTTGGAAGGAAATTATACAAAGCTATTTCAGGTACTTGACTTGCCTCAGTCTGCATGCACTTATGCCATATCTACACCTGCATGTGAATATGTTGTAACTGGCCACAGGAAGCAACACCTCTACCTAGGCTGAGCTTGTTTTCCATTCTATTATCTGAAATGGTCATTTTCAGGTGTTCGTAACTGCCTCAGTATTTTTCTTCTTTGTGAGATATCTGGTATGTAGTCAGGGCATAATTTTTTTTTCTTGAAAACAGTTTAGATAGTTTCCAGTATTGACAGGGGGGAACTTGGGGGGTGGGGGGGAGTGGTGTTCCTGTTTTAGTGTTTGTTCTCCTAGCCTTTCACTGAAAGTGTTTGGTAGCAGTATAGTCTCTGCAGTCCTTGCTTTGTTGAACACCATTTTTGTTTTTTTGAGGGGGAGGATAAGCGAGGGAGGTGTGTGTGTTTAGGGAGGAAAGTCATCCCTCACGCTCATTGTTTACCATGAACTTTTGGTGGTCAGCTGGCAATGTGTGTATGTGTGCATGTAACGTGTTGGCTGAGTACATAAAATTTCAGCACAGCATGATTAAAATGGCATAGGATTTCAAAATTCATCAGTATAAACTGTGTCATGAAATGTAAAAATGCAAATGTAAATGCTTCTGTGTGCAAGAGAGGTGTTTTAGCTTGAGTCATTATCATAGTAGGATAATTTTTCCTGGTGTGGAGCAAGATATTGTACGGAATAAGGTGACTATTATTATCTGCTTTGACATATACAGAACATGAGAAAGAAAAGCTTCTCTCACTCACCCAAAGGGCACACAGCAAGTCAGGAACTTGTCATATGGGCATCCCGATCTGATCATCACTTACACTTTGTCATCCGTCTCCCCTCCCTCCACACCCAGTGTAATTTGTCTTCCTAAACATACAAATCAGTGAAAATATTTCTGAAACTTTAGCTTCTCCATGAAATACAAATCTTCTCTTCTTTCCTTCTGTTGTGTTCAAGTGATGTGTGGTAGAGGTGTTTTCAGATTATTCCTTCCTGTGGACGCTGTTTCAAAATAGAGGCATCCCCTCTTCACCTTACAGACACATGACACTATGCCAGCCCATAGATGGAAAATCAATGTTGGTTCAAAAGGCACACACTTTTCTATATTTATATAAGTAAATGCTCTATCGCGGGTTTAAAAAATTGAAGATTTTGTCTATAACTCTCCCTGTCATTCTGGATCCTTTTTGTTTCTCTCCAGGACACTACTCCTGCTTTTTGGAGTTATCCTGCCTATGTTGCCAGCTCTCTCAGCCCATTCATGTGTGCTCCCTTGTCACTTTGCTCCCTGCTGCTCTAGACAGACGTCCCATTGCCGCAGCCCTCCAGCCCTCTATGATTCTTTGATGTTGATGGTTTCCATTTCCTTTCCTTTTCCATTACAACAGCAATCCAAGCAGAGATAGGAAAGCAGACTGCAGATTTCTAGCTGTTTCTGCAGGCTTAATGTTTTTTATTAGTCTTAAAGAACTTGGCAGTCTATAAAACTGGGGAGCAGAACAAGCCCACATCACTAGTGAGTGGTGTGTGAACCACCATTTGGGGACCACTGCACTGAAATGAAAACATTTTTGTATTATGTGGTTCAAACATACTCCGAATCTGCAAGACTGATCTTTTGCCATAGCTGTTTTAGTGTTGCAGGCTTTTAGTTGCAGATATGTATTGCTGCCTTTTCCCTTTGAAACCAACTGAGTAAGGAGGTAGCGGGATGATGAAAACTCTCCTTTGCTGAGACTTGTGACAAATGAGTAATTCTCCCTGCTGTTTGAAATCCTGTAGAATAGGGACTTATAATGGAATTGTTGACCCATCTTTAGCTTTGGCATTTCAAATGAGATTCTGAATGTCAAATCACTGAACACATTCCTGAGAATAAATGCTTGGTGAGCCACTAGTGACAAGTGGTTAAAGACTGTAAAAGGGAGCAACTGAAATGAAAATAAATGAAATGCAATGAAAGGGCATCACAGAAATTGTTATTGGTGAAGTGAATAAAAATAATAGCAAGCATCTCAACTCATTTGGCTGGCAGCAGCACAATAATGTTGCCGATTCGTTTTTTGAAAATAGAAATAGGTCTGCAGTGTAGTTGGAAGTCATAATTATTTTAATGGACAGAAGTTAACTATAGACCATACATTGCACCTTAAAAAGAAGGAAACAAAAGAGGACTCCAGTTGTAACACTGAGAACAGTGGATTTTATTACCTGCAGTGCTAGTAAGCCCAGCTTAACATCAGGATTCATGGGGGGAAGGATCTGGTATCCTATATGCACAGGGAATTCTTTTCAGTATTATGCAGTGTCACAAAACATCTGAACTCAGCCAAATGTAGGACTATATCTCTCATCAGAATCACCTCAGATTTCAGGTAAGTAGCTGACAGACAAGATTATCTTGGCTGAACTGTGAAAATAAGTTATTTAGAAATATCCCAGCAGATATCTTACTGTTATCTATGTAACACTTCATTGCTGGACTGAACTAGTCTCAGAAGGAAGCAGGGCGGTTTCACCAAAAGTTCTGATTTTAGCCAAATTGTCTTTTGGATGGTTGGAGTATTTTTCAGTTTCTCAGGAAGATGCCTTCTTTTGTCATTGTGCTGTTTCAGATCTCAAGCCACAGCGTACGCCTAGAAGATGGTTGGCCCATGTGTACTATGTATCAAATGCATTCTTTAAAGTGTAAGGTTGTGTGCAAACATGTAAGCAAGTTTTGTGGATGCAGTTCTGACAACATTATTTTAGTTCTATCAGCTTTTGTATTATCTGCACCATTGCTGAATTGCAGAATTATTTATTGACTTGATTTTTAACAGATGAACTGAATCTTATACAGGGTTTTATGGACAAAATTTTGTTGTGTACTGAAGTTACTCACACAAAGGCACTGTTGGAAGCCTCATTTATATCCATCCACTGCATTTTATACACGCACATGTGCATGCGAACACACATATGCATGCCAGCAAGTAAAACTGCATGTTACACTATACCAACCTGCATATTTTCCACAGGCTGTATATGAAAATTAATATGACATCATCCAGGCATGACATCATTCTAAAAGACTTGAGGGATGAAGCGAGTGGGAAGAACATTTCTCTTTGCTTCTTCTGAATACAACAGCAGTTAGAATGAGCAGATTGATGTTGTATTCCCGCCAGGTGTGATGAAATTGTGATCCTTTCTCTATCCTTACCTACGCACTTGAGAAATGAGAAACTGCACCTCTTTTGCAACAGTTTTGTGTGGTTTTTGGATGGATGCATTATTCTACATATGCATTCTGTCGGTCTGTTTTCCTTTGTCCTGATTGCTGTTAGAAGGGAGAGCAATATCTGAAATTCAGGATCATATGCTCACCAGCTGTGGGCCCTTAAACAGAGCAGCAATGGACTAGTATTATGGCTGTGGAGAGCTGTATGGTGGGGCTTTTGGGGGAACACACCCTGGCAGAGCTGTGCTGTGGGAGGTCAGAAACACTGCAGCGTTGTTTCTGTCCCTCATCATGCAACCTAATTTTTACAACAGTCCAAAGTGGGCTTTGTACCCCAGCTTTCTGCAACCCATACTGCTTCCAGTCTTCTGGCTAGGGCCTTGCTGCTAAATGTGGGGCAAGAGGAAAGGTTCTCATCCCTTTTTGTGCTGTCTGAGACAGCTTCCTTGCTAAGCTCCCCTTACCTTCTTTAAAAAAA